AAGATTGGCTAATAAAGGTATAAAATACGCTACATGCTGATTTCAATTTTACCATCTGCTGATTCTAAAAAGACAGGTAGCCCAAGCTTGTTTATGAACATCGGCATTTTTGCGTAACCATCGAAATATAAGGATTTGTATGGGGGAAAAACGCTTGTTTCTGTAGCCTACGAGTGTGAGTGTGAGCTATTTAAACTAAAGGTGAGTGTTTCTTCTTCCTTCCTTCTTCCTTCTTCTTCCCGCCCGGGCGTGGACCACACAGAAAAGAAAAAAAACACAACTTAAGTGATTCAAGCCGATTATTATTTAAACCCCTTAACATTCGCTGGTTACAGAAACAGTAGTTTTTCCCCATACAAACGCTTATACAGTAGATAATTCGGACTAGGATAACTCGAATTCTCCGCTAACTCGAACTAAACTACCTTACGCACCAGTGCCAACGTCCATATTTCGAGCTTAGGCAACTTGTGCAGAAAAAGGTGTGAAAAGACATCCGTGGGCGTTTGGGCGGTGCGTACCCCACTTAATAAATCCATCAGACCGAAGGTCCTCGTCCGTGTTATGCAAGTCCTAGCCACATGGTAATGATGAATGCAGTGGGATGCTGTGTAGTATCTTTAAAAATTGGTGCGTCAAATTAAAGGGGATAGAATGGAAATTATCCGAGTTGATCTTAGCTCTCCCGCTCTCAGTTGCTACCGAGATGAATATTTGCCTAGGCATACTTCGATAGCAATAGTGCGGTCTAAATTAAAATACCAAAAATTTTACGATCGCATCAAATCTTCAATTTCGCAACAAAAATCACGTTGCAAAAACCTTTCGTTTAAATTTGACAGTCACGAGACCTAAGGCGTGTGTGTACAGATCCGTGGCTGGCCGGTTCTAGACAGTCTGGAGGCATGTTCGGTCAGCAAATGCGCGTTTCCAGTCGCGTTTTAAAGAACAAATGGTTCCAAAGATGTAACCTAAAGTTTGCTTAACTTTTTTAATACGCTTACCAAAATGATGATCTAGCTGTTTCAGTTACCACATGTTTCCTGTCATTGTCTACAAGGTTCGATGAACCTTGGAATGACAGAGTCATCCCCAATGAACAAATTTTTGTGGTGGTATTTTAGCAAAATTTCCACCAAATCTTGGAGCAAAAAAATGCGTAATCGCGATGTTTAAGATAATAGTGTGGGTTTCACCAGCTTGATGCTGAAGTTTTGTTAGTGAAACATTACTGTCCCGAGCTTGTATATCATCGTAAAAACTTAGTTGACCAAATGAATAGACCCAGGGAAAAGAACTGAAGAAGAGGACATATCACTTAACCCCTGGCTGCCACGTGTATGTGAAATTTTGATTCACTTCTTGCAGGCATGTGGTTTTTTCGGCAATAAAAATCTTTGACCCAACTGTTACCTTTGTTAGCCACTTTCTATCAGAACAATCTTTTTTAGTTGAGTTTATTTTTGGAAAGGGTTGCATAACAGACAAGTCAGTTAAAAAACCACCTTTCAACTAAATATTTTAAAGCAGTATGACTGAAGAGAGGTATTATAACTTAACTAACTACAACTCACTGACTTGAATTTATCTTATATCAATAATGCTCAGTTCTCAAGAACTAAAAAAACAAACAAAAAATAATCACCCCTGATGAAAATTCTGACACTTGATGGTTGACACAGCATAAAATACTGGTCAGTGCACCCTCAACTAGTTGCAAGGGAGGAACTGGGTTTCAGTGATTACACGTCTACATACAGCTGGGTGTTAAAAAAAAAACATTCTGTTGAAGGGGCTATTTGAAGGTAACAGTTGCCTCTACTGAGAATCACTAGATTATGAGCAGTCTCTCTTTTTTCGTGGTCCGTCGAGCAAAACGTGCAAGACACACAAATGACCACGCCCGTGCACTCTTCTCACTAAAGAAAAGAAAAAGAGAGACTGCTCGCAGTCTAGAGAATCACCAGATGGCAGGTGGAAACCATAGGAGAAGATCAGGGGCTAGGAGCCATAGAAAAAGGAAGTAGGGACCAAGATATTTACCACCATCTTATTATGTTATCATATATTATCTTACTTTTTTTTGAATACTTTTTTCGAATGCATGGCTTGCCCAGATTAGCACTTGTTACCTCAGGGCATGTCAAAATCATTGTATCCAAATAAAAATAATTAAACATAATAAATAATATAAACATAAATAAAAGAATGTTATTATATATGTATGCATGCATGCTTGATATGGAGAAGCAAAATAATAGATAATGTTCCTGGTTCGAGTAAGATTCTAAATGGATTATGGACAGTTTTCTTTAAAACGTAACACATGACCTTTCAAATGTCACTTTACTGAGAGAATGTGCTAGCCTGTTTTTTGAAAATTCTAGTGATGTTTTGCATGTTGTTTGAATCATATTTTAATTTAACAGAAACGAATATTATGGAATCATTTACGGAAATACAGATGCAGAATATAAATGCTGTAGATTTTTTATTATTAGCTGGTTTGTAGTGCTGTATTGGATTTCACTCTGTAGCTGTTGCTTGAAACTGTTCCTTGTATAAACATTCAATAAAAGTCACAAGATTGAAATCAACAGCTTTCTAGTATTTGTAAAATTTTGCCTTATCGTTATTCTGATGTATTCTAAATCTTTCCCACTTTTATAGCTAGCCATATCTATTTGTAAATAAATATAAACATGCTAATTTTTTATTTGTCTGAAATTTTCAAATACAATATATTTTCATCTTCTGTGCTAATGCAGATATTCCCCTAGTCAATGACTCTGGATTGACCAGTCACTCAGTCACTAATGAAAATCACAAGTGAACTGAATGTGGGGGGTGGGGGGGGGAGGGGCTGGGGCTGGGTTGGGCTGTGCGAGATTTCTGAGGTCGAGTTTCTGGTTTCTGGTTTTTGATTTCTGATTTCAGTTTTCTCATTTCTAGTTCCTGGTTCTGGTCTCTGTGGTTTGTGGTTTCTGGTTTCAGTTTTCTGATGCCTCATCCCCGACTCACATTTTCATATTTCATACTTCTAAGAATTATCCAACCTCTGAAATTTGGTTACTAAATTCTAATTTCAGTTTTCCGAAAATCAGGGATCAATGCCTTCAATGTTCAGTATTCTGACTCCTTAAATTCACAAACAAGTTTGATCTCCAAGCCTACTGTTTCTCTTTTTGGGAATAACTAGGGATTCCCCAGCCACTCAGTCAATTCAAACCCACACACAAACTGAAGGTCTTATAACCATTTGTTTTTGTATTACATCACAAGGTAAATGTGCATGAAAATGTTAACAGGGATGGGGGTGGGGGTGGTTTTTTGGGGGGTTGCAAGCAAGTAAAATGTGACACTAATCAGTGGTGGATCCAGGAGAGCCCCCCCCCCCCCATAAATGAAATCCCCACCCACACTTAAGGTTTTATAACCATTTTTTTTTGTATTAACTGAAAAAGTAAATGTGCAGGAAAGTGTTAACGGGGTGGGGGGGGGGGGAGGTTTTTTGGGGGGTTGCAAGCAAGAAAAATGTGAAACAAATCAGGGGTGGATCCAGGGGGGCCCCCCCCCCCCACTTATTTTTAGACCAAACTGAGGAGCAAAGGGCCAAAAAAAATTTTTGGGAGACCAGGCACCCCTCTTATCTCAGGGTCTTGATGACTGCCCCCCCCAACTCCCCTTATCTGAAGGTCTGGATCTGGCACTGCTTTGCCCTTGAAGAGACAACCTGGAATTGAAGTAACTGGTCAAAGTTAATAATAAGAACAAAAGCAAAAGGAACCTACCCTAATATCTGGAATCCCTGGTTCAACCTCTGCTGTCAAGGTAAAGGTGTCCATATTGCCAGTTGCAGATTGTACTGCTTTCACAATCGCTGCGGCACACAGAACAACCAAGGCATTCCGTGCAGTGGTTAAAATCCATAAAAACTTTCTGCAAATTTGCTGCAATCTAGTCACGGGCTCGTTTTTGTCCCACTCAATACGATTTAACTTTTTCAGAACTATCAAAATCACAATACAACAGCTTCCCAGTAAGAGATCCCAAGGGTTTGTTTCTTTGATGTGCCTGAATGTTTGTACGACATTCGCGAAAAAAGGTCTTGGTATGTGTTGCAACCCTAAAAGACTCTTCACTTGTCCAAAACCAATAATGATGGCTGCGGCAGACACAAAGCCACTGATAACTGGGAGTGAGATAAAGCGCACCAGGAAACCCAGACGAAAGGTACCCAAGAAAAGTTGCACAATACCACAATATAAAGTCAATGCAACAGCAAATAATGGCTCACCCTTGGCAAAATGTTCAACCATCAATGACATGATTGCTGTTGGACCAAGGGTAACATCTTTACTGCCACCAAACAGACAGTAGACGAAGCAGCCCATGAACGCAGAGTAGAGCCCATATTGTAGAGGAAGCCCAGCTATTGTCGCATAGGCTAATCCCTGAGGAACAACCATTAACCCTACTGTTGTACCAGCAATAATGTCTCGCAGTAGACTCTCGCTGTTGTAGTGTGGAAGCCAGTACGTAATGGGTAAATACCTGTGAAGGCACTTCTTGGCAGCTTCCTTCGCTCTCGAATATTTATCATGTTCGTTAGCGTCGTAACTGAGTAAAGGAGTGTTTTCTAAAGGCTCTGTCACACTTCGCATCTTATTGCTTTCATTCATGGTTTCAGGTTGAGAGTTTGGTTAAGTTCTTAGGTAAGTAAGCTTACATTGTAGGCCACATGACACAAATTTCACGTGCTCAAAGCGACAGGCGTCCAACTGATACCGGCGGATTCAAACGGAGTGAACTTCACACTCTAAGCTGTCTCATGTTCTGCAGGTTCAGGCAAAATAACATTGAAAATATCAGGCCTTTCAAACTCTGTTACTTGGCTGCACACTTGGTATGAAAGTCACGGGTTTTTTGCCACGGAAACGACCTTGCTTTGACGTTCATGTCAAAAGCGCTTCCCTGGGAGAAAGTCTGGGTACTAAACCACAGAATCGTGACGTCACTTTCCATCCCTACCCCGACCCCTGCAAGGTTATTTAGTGTTTTCATCGTTTATCGCAGAGGCACATAGTTCTATGAACGCCGGTAGCGACATGAATATTAACTCTTAGCTGGATCGAACTGAGAATAGTATTTATGTTTAGTTAGGCTTTGTGTTCAACTACTGGTAAGCGCGATGGTTCAAGAGTATCAGTCCCCTGTTAGAGTTTACAAGTACCCGTTCGAAATTGTGATGGCGGTGAGTGACTGCGTTTTGGTTGATTTGTTATGCTCTTGTGTGTAGAAAACGCGGAAGGCTAATTTGGACAAAACCCACTACAGAAACCTGCTAACAGAAATTTAAAGTGTGATGTGTTTAACCGAAGACAGGCCTTGAATCTTGAGTTGAAAAGAGTACATAGGGCTTTCCACGATGGAATATGTGTAATCTGGCGGCTTTGGCAATTTGAACATATAATTTACGATCTCTAATTGTAAGAGCTGATAACGCCTTTAGAAGTCGTTTTGTGGGTGTACTTATCCACTTTATCGTCATTTTCTTCAAAGGCATACGAAAAGCGCTTTCCTACGTGCAAGATGATTCCTGTGTTTCTTGGTAGTGACATTCTGTCTGAATACAAAAGTGAAGATGGCGCGATTCACAACATCGAGAGACGATGTAAACTTGACGTAGATGCACCATACTTGCTGAAAAAGGTAAGCCAGCTAATTTGAACTCCTAAAATTCGATGAATACGTTCTTGAAGGTGTGGCATAATGTGAAGAAATTAAAATTACATAACGAGAGGGCGAGAAGCAACTTCTCAAGACATCTTTTAAATACAAGACTAGAACTTAGAGAAGGTTTAATAATAGATTGAAGCTTAGTTATACATAGGAAGTTCTTGGGTGTGTTTTAATTTATAGGATGTTAAGGTACTCAGCTTATTAATTTTTCTCGGTTTTCCGATTTCTGCTTACGTCTTTCACAATATTTGCTTTCACAGATTATTGGTGTGGAGTATGTATATTTCAACCAAACAAACTGTCTGAATCGACGAGACCGCACTTTAACTATTACTGCTTTCAATGAAAGCTTTTCATCCCGCGTTTTTGTTAAGGAACACTGTTATTATTCGGTAAGTATGTTCTTTAACACATATTAAAGCGATATAAAGGAAGAGATTTCGAGACATTTCCATCATTCGATGGGCATTAAAATATAATGTTACATGGTCATAGACGTGAGTTGGAATCGCCCTCGGCGAATTGCGTCAGCTATGATGTACTTTGAGGTTCATTCGTAAATGAATGAATATGTAAACATCCAAAGCGTGGCACAAAATAAACAAAGGCCGCTTTTACTTTATTGCACAGAAATTTATTATGTATAGTGGACAACTATGTAAATTATATACATTTGAGTCAGTAGGTTCCTTTCATTTACACAAAGGTAGCAAAATACCACAAACTTGGTTTTACTTCGCTTTCCAAGGTCACAATTTCATACCTGTTTATTTTTGTATGACTGCTATGAATTATTTATCCAATAAAATGATTACATTTTGGCCTTATTTGATCAATATTGGAGAGTGTTTGTCCTGAAGGAAAATGAACCTAACCCTAACCCCAACCCAAAACGCTTCTTTTTATGAAGTGTGATTTTATTTTTCTTCCTTGTGAAAGTTCCATTTTGTAGTGAAAATTTAACCAAAACTATTTGCCATAAAAATTATGTTATAAGTTATGTTCTTTTGTAATTGTTTATGTCGAAGGAGCCAATAGTCAAAACATATTTGTTCATTGGCCTATTAGCCTATTGTTACTGAAGGATGAAGCCAGCATGGCTCTCTTCCAAAAAGTATAATATATTGAAAGAGGCTAAAAGGATTTTTTCATGGGCATAATTTTGTACTTTATCTCCTTTTTATTCACGATAAAGTTGACACAGTGCCTCTTTCACCCTTCTCTCTTAAGGGTTCTTTTAAGTGGAAAAATTGGTTTTACTTTTTGAAATCCAGATTTTTCAGATAATTTTTCAGTTTCTAGAACACTTGTCTAAAAATGGATTTCGTGGCTGGATCTGCAGATTCATGTTTTAGATGGGTCGCAGAGGGATTTTCTGTTTGACAAATTTGTGAAATCTGGATTTGGATTGTGAAAATCTAAATCCACATTTCCCAATCGAATGCACCCTTAAAAAATACTAAGTCAAATGCTTGTGATTTAGAGACAAATTTCAACAATTTCAATGACAATGCTGCCTTCAAATATGTACACAATGTAAATTCAAATTTACATATTTTCCCCTGTTGAAGGCAGCATTGTAATTGCCAAAACATCAGAATACATTTCTTAATTAACAGTATTTGACTTACCAATATTTCTTATTGAATTGTTGTGTTAAACAAAAAAGACGCTACACAGAAACAATCCTGTTCACTACTTGATAAATGGCATTTGGCTCTTCCAGAAAGCAATAGAAAAAAGAAAAGAAATGGTGCTCCTAGTGCACAAACCAATAGTGGCTTCAATGTTAAATGACAAACAGAAAATAGATGGACAAGTTATTTCTTTAAATGTTCTCAAAACATAGCCAAAGTCTTAAAGTCTTAATGATGCTGACAGTTTTGATGACTGTCAGCCATCTTTGTCAAAACTTGGAAATCGTGAAAGGTGTTAATTATTGCGATAAACTCGCCAAGTCACTCTGTAGATGCCCCCTCCCCTGGTTTGGGGGTGGAGATCACTTTGACAATTTCCAAGTTTTGACAAAGATGGCTAACAGTCATCGAAACTGTCAGCGTCATTAAGACTTTAAGACTTTGGCTATGTTTTGAGAACATTTAAAGAGATATTAACTGTACTAGCCTGATGAATTTCTTCAAGAATGGACAAATTAGTAAAGCCGAACTGCAAATAATAGTCAGTCAGTGTTCAAATGAAATTGGCTCATGTCCAGTGAAGTGTTAACTCTGGCCGGACATGATATCTCCAGTAGACAAAGTTACCAGTAACACCTATTGGCAAAGACTATCATTTTGTAAATGAATAAAATCTTACTTAAGCGCTTGAGAATTGTGCCAGTGAATTGACACTGTTTCACTGAATGGAAGGTAGTGATCAGTGTACCTGTGAATCCCTTGCCTACCATTCACCATTTTCATTTAAGACACATAAGTGCGACCCGAGGGAGTCTGGCCACAATTTTGTTTTGTCTGACCAAAATGGAGGCTAAGAAAGAAAGAAAGATAAATAAATGAATAATTATTTGCAGCTCTGCAAAGGGATAATACACAATTATTTGACTCATCATTTTTCGATCTGCTAGGTTCACCCGGATAACCCTGAGTGGACTTGTTTTGAACAAGATGCAAGCTTGGACATCAAATCTTTTTTTGGTTTTGAGGCAGCTGTCGAAAAGCTGGCAATTAAGCTGTATCTCCAGAACATTAAGAAGGTGATTAATAATTAATAATTAATTATTATTTATTTTTTCCTTGGTTTGTTGCTAATGTTGCAAGGAAATAATAATAATAATGATAATACGATCATATTATGATCATTAATACAAATCATCTGATCATTAATATGACAACCAATGATGGCCTTGAATTCATCAGTCGTTATAACTGTCACAGTGTCAGAATTTTACCTTATTGATATGACCAGTCAAATGTCCAGTGATGCATAGTGCAATGGGTGATGCATATTGTGTTTAGCAAATCAATAGTCAGAATTAAGTACAGTCAAATCTCTTTAATACAGACAGTAAGGGGCCATAAAAAGTACAGGGGTGTCTGCAAAGGGGGCTTCGACTGTTTAAGTCTTGGTCTTTCATGGGTTAGAAAGCCAACATGACACTACCCCAATTTAAGCACCCTGTTTATACAACCTGCCCAACAGTCTTTGTAGTAGAAGGGGTCCATTTTATATCACACCCCAGAGCAGTGACACTGATCTGATGAAATGTTGCACTCATTTACAGGGCAAAGAAGTGATCCAATATTACATAGATGAGTTAATGAGTGAAGGGATTACATATCTGCCTCCATTTGAAAATTCACATGGGCGACCAAGAACAAAGAGTGCATCAGAAGCGCTGGTGGCAAATCCTGAGCAAACTGAAGAGGATGGCAATGCGCTTCCTATCGCTAGTTCTGCAATAGAGGTTGCAGATGTGGAAACGTTGGGTGCCCGATCAGGTAAGCATATGATGATACATGCATTTTGTTAGTACAGGCTGTCCACAAAGTTCCTTTAGTGGAAATGACGACAACTTTGTATCATATTTTTCTTCATCTCTGAATCCTAGATTATAAGCTTGATGATGACTATATCCAAAGATTTCTTGGCAAACTAAGCCCAAAAGAAGAAAATCAGCTTATTAAGGTCAGTGCATGGCAAAACACTTTGATGTGCAAATTAGGTCTTAGATGTTTGGATTGCAAATAATGTTTCAGACTGAGTGGGGTTATAAAATTTAACTGTCAGGGTAGTCAATGTTCTACCATGATGTCTCAATGTATCTATTGAAAAGATTGTTTTGTTACTCTGTATTGCTTTTTTGTGGAGATTTTACTTCTTAGAGTCACAATAATTTCTTGGAGATGTCTTGCAGCACCTATTAGTATTTGTAACATGGTTTTGGGCTTACATAACTAGAGACGAAGTAAAACGTACTGGCTGCGTGGTTAACATCTCACACTTGAGATCTGTACGTCCATATTCATGCCTTTACCAACGGTGTTCCCTCAGACAAAATTTTTGATATTTTGCTCCAAATGTTGGGCCATGCAATGGACTAACATTCCACCTGAGGGGAAAGGGAGAGTACACTGTAGCATTAGGTACCCCTTGTTACTTCATGCTATAGACACCGGTTTAAGCTCTGCGGGCCTCAAGGCTTAAGGGTACTTTAACCTTACCTTAACCTTAACTTGAGCTCACATTGTTTCATAAATGACCAAAAGTCTTGAATTATGGACAGAATGAGTTCTCAAGGCTTGTGTATGGTAAGGTCCAGTCTCAGTCCAGTCTCTTTCCGTTTTTCATTTACCACCTCTTTTTCGATGTTCAAAAATATGATGTGAAGTTAGATCCTTGAGTACAATTTTCCAGTTGTACTAGTGCATTATAATATTGAAATTTTTGTTAATGACTTTGGTTTTTTTAATATTCTTTATTAATAGCTGCGCAAGAAACTCAGTGCCACACATCAGGGGAAGGTATTTATTATTCATTATTATTATTATTATGACTAGTATTATAAAAAAGAGGAAAGCTACCACCACATGCAATAACATAAAATAATAATTTTTATTCCTTTCTTTTTTTATTAGATGCCAAATGATGCTCATCTTTTAAGATTTCTCAGAGCACGGGACTTTAATTTAGACAAGGTACTGTAGATTCTTGATTGTTGCATCTCGTTCTTGATACTTGGTTCCTGCGACACTCATCAATCCAGAACGGCCTTGGTTTAGTTCCAAGTAATTTTCTCTCTACTCTCAATACTTAGACTGCAAACAGTCAGCTTTTTGCTCAAAATCGACTTAGCGTAGCTTAAGAGTCTCACCCGCACGAAGCCCTCAAGCCTTACACTCCCAAAGGGCGTGTCCCTAGTCTTGATTCCCATTTTCAGCCTCACTCTGAACAATGCAGTTGAAGCTTAGTTGTCCATTTATTGTTTATCAACACAGTCTTATGAAATGTTGTGCGAGTCATTGGCATGGAGGCGGCATCACAATATTGACAAAATACACGAGATCTGGCAGCCTCCAGATCCACTTCTCAACTACTACTGTGGAGGGTGGCATAACACAGACAAAGGTGACAGTTTTATGTACTGTAACTTGAAAATAAATGATCGATATTCAGTCTTGTTACAGTAGATGGCCCTAATTTTTACATCTGTGAATGAAATCCAGTGGTGTACCATTCATACAGAACCTCTTTGACAGCACATCCTCATAGAACTATTTGTTTCTGAGCATTTAAGTGCAAATTGAAATTTAGAAGTGTTTTGTTGAGTTTTAACTTTGGCCTCTTTTGGGAGGGTTTAGATGAAGTAAAAATAAGTGACTGAGTGTTTTCCTTTCTTTAGGCATGAGAACCTAAATATCATTAACCTTGAATGGGAAAACAAGAAGTTTGTCTGTTCAGTAAACATAATGCTTAAATATAAACTCAGTTTGCTGGAACAAAAGCTTATAAAGTTACTAGATCAAGCTGAAAAGGACTGGAATACAAGATGGTTTTTCTTTAAGATTAAGACTAGTGCCATCATTATTGACTTGTTGGTATTTTTTCTTTCTTATAGAGGGGCGACCATTGTACATCCTTCGGCTGGGCTGTATGGATGTCAAAGGACTGTTGAAGGCCGTAGGGGAAGATGGATTTCTAAAACATGTAAGTAGAGTGTTCACTGGTAAACTTGTGGACTGTGACTGGTTGTCAAATCAAGACCAGCATTTAGCTGCATCAAAATTTAGTAGCAATTTAAAGAGACTTCCTCAATTTGCGGAAACTAATTATGAACTTTCTTCCCCGTTTAAGACTTTGAAGTAAGACCTTACAAATATTTGAAAGGTGTCACATAAGATTTGCTAGTTCGGTGTCTGTTGTTCTATGTACTTTCAAATAATATAATACAAGCTTATTCCTTCCACAATTTAATGATAGTTTTGTTGTCTCAACAGTATAAAGAAATTTATAATTTCCCCATTTCTGGAGTTTATAGTAGTTTTTGTTACATTAAAAGGTTGCGTTGGAGTGACAGTCTTGCTTTGTTGTGTCATTGAACATTGACTTCACAATGCTGTCTCTTTCAAGGTTGTTTCCATCAATGAGGAAGGTCTCAAAATGACTGAAGGACTCACCAAAAACACAGGACATCCTGTTAGGTATGCACAAATTCTTTATTATTAAGTTTCGTATAGTCAATAACTATACTATGGGTGAAAACTAGGGAATTACAATCAACTCTCTCTCTCCAAGATGGATGCCTTTGGTACCTACATGAAGCATATGTCTAAGAGTGATGTCCATCTTTTAGAGTGTCAAATAAAGGGTGATAAAAGAAAGGCAAGAACCCACTCAAAGTGTCGGTTTTACTGAGGTGTCCATCTTATAGATCAAGGTGTTTTTTTCAGATAAATAGAGTTCACTATTTTTGAATAAGTCACACCACTTTTACCTTTGCTGCTTTGATTTTGATGATATCACATGGAAGTACTTGTGTCTTTTCAGTTCATGGACTTGTGTTTGTGATCTGGAGGGCTTAAGTATGAGGCATCTTTGGAGGCCTGGTAAGTGAACCCATCCAACGTTGTATTTTTCTAGCTGTTATGGGATCCAACATCCCTTGCTATTCAGCATGTTTCAAGGTATGTACATTTTACTGGCAGTATTTCCAAGGTGCGTGATCATCATCATACTTTGGCTCCAGAGCAGCTGACCACAAGTTTCCTCCATCGATGGCGGCGTTGAGCTATTTCCAACAGCTGATTGTTAATTAGCAAGCTATCAGGATCCTCTAGAAGACAATGAATTGATGAACAAGGTTCACTGTCTTCCAGATTTTCTCCTCCCATGAGTGGGAACATACATTGCAAATTCTCTGACAAGCATATTTTCAGGCTAGCAGAGCACATGACCAGGCAAACTCATTTGCTGAAGCCTGACTCTTTCAATAAAGGGAACTGTTTCTGTGAGGCTGTAGACAGTAGTATTTGGTATTCTGTCAATTTGCCCGATGTTTAACATAATTCAATAACAGGACCTGCCCAAAGAATTGATTTTGTTCTCCATTTCCTTAGAGAAGACATACCACCATTTAACCTTGGAAATTTGTTGCTTTAGGCATCAAGGCATTACTAAAGGTGATAGAGGTTGTTGAGTGTAATTACCCAGAGACAATGGGCAGACTGCTGATTGTCCGTGCACCCAGAGTTTTTGGTGTTCTGTGGACACTGGTTAGTCCCTTCATTGATGAAAACACAAGAAACAAGTTTCTTATCTATGGTGGAAATGATTATCAGGTATTACTTGTTTTGTTTGTCATTCTTTTTTTATAAAAATAGTGGATTTCACAATATTTTATTGTTGTGATGAAGTTGAGTACTTGCAGTGCTCAAAGTAATGGCCAGTCATCGGACAATGTTCGGCCTGAATGGCAACTTGACCAGCCAAAAAATTCACTCGCCGGTCATGTTGACAAGTCACACCTACTCCCATCCTTGAACAAACAACCAAATCCTCACCTGTAAATCTTAGATTTGTCTCTTTGTAACATACAATCATGTTCATGAATTGAAAATTACACAAGGATAAGTTAACTTCTTTCCCGATATTTTGACCAGTCAGAATTGAGACTTGACTGAGCAAACTTTCTTTGCCGTTACAAAAATTATTAAAATAGCCCTGACTTGTAAGCATTTATTATTCCAATACTGTCAACAGTTACTTGTAGTTGTATCAGTTTCACTTTTACCTGATGTGTTGGTTTGATTACATACTTGTAATGTTTTATTCCTCATTGCAGGATCCTGGTGGCCTGACAGACTACATTGCAGCAGAATACATTCCAGATTTTTTAGGGGGTCCATATGAGGTAATTAAAGCAATGAGATACTCAGTCAAGCTTCCATGAACAGTAACAAGAAGTTCTAAGTAAAGTCTGCCTGCATCTACACACTTAGAAGCTGTATCAATCTCCTTTTTGTCTCAGTCAGATAACTTCATTTTCAGCCTTGTGCACAGTATATATAAAGCATTGTCCATCTCTAGCTGGACATCAGAACTGCTCAACTCCATCAGACCACTGATCAGACCACATTGTGGAGCAATGATTTGAAACTCTATGACTTAAAAATTTGTAGAGGAAATCCTATGGTGTTACCATTCGAATAAAAACACTTTGGCGGAACTTTAATTTGTCAGTGGATTTTTTATTTCGCCACTATTTCATTGAAACAGTTTTACATATACCATTTTGCTTCTTTTCTAGTGCAACATCAAGGAGGGCGGTCTTGTCCCAAAATCACTTTACAGATCACTAGAGTTCAGTGAAGGAGAGGAATCATGGAGTAGTGAAATCTATCAGACTACTCACGTTAGCAAAGGGTCACCTCATGAGGTTTGTTCCATACTCCTTTAGCTATACACATGTTGAATATTATACAGAGGGAATAGCCATTTTTTGGCAAATGGCTTTCACATTAGGACTCTACAGATCAAGGGTCAAGGATGGAAAAGTCATGGAATATTGTAGGACACTAAAAGTGCACTATGAACCTTGCTATGAACCTCAATTTGTTGTGACTTCGCATTAAGCGCAGTGCAAACAGACGCAACATTGTATGTCAACAACTCCCAACATTGTTGGATGGTACATGTAATTGGGTCCGTTTGCACACCCTGTTGCATGTTGTTGGGAGTATCAAACGTTGTGAAAAGTTTGGTACAGGTCAAACGGAGATGCAACAACTCCCAACATGATTGAGCCATCAATGTTGGGAGTTGTTGCATCTGTTTGCTTGTAGCTTAAAGAAACTATTCATTAACTTGTGTTTGGGGTTAATTTCTAACTTGCAATACTGCAGCTCATCACTGTGCGGCAGAAAAGTGCTTTCTTTGTTAAACAAAACCAGAAGCGAAAACATGGCAAATTCTACATGAGGTGCTAACCAAGGGCTCTTGAGTTCCAAATGTTTCCAACTTTTTGTTCTCTTTCAGGTCCTGGTCACTATTAAGGAGTCCCAATCAGTGATCACATGGGACTTTGATGTTATGAAAGGTGATGTCCAATTCACAGTGTTTAGGCACAAGCGTCCACGTGAAGCAATCAGTAGCAACAGCTTGTCAAGTTTTGGAAGTGATGCATCCATCAACCAGTCTGGAGTTATTGCTGGAGTTGATGCGATGGTCGTTGAAAAACCGAGGCATTGTGTTGATGGTGAATCAATACAGGTATGTTTTTATAAAGGGCTTCCAAGACGGGTATACTATTACTGTCATTCATTTCTGAAACTGCAAGTTGCCTGGTAGGTCAGGAAAAATGACTTGTAGCTGTTGCATTTTAGCTGGGATGAAAATGTTGCTGTCAGTTCAGCATAAATTTTTGACATGCCCAATTTGGAATTTATGACAGATATAGCGCTTAAAAAGAATAAATTGTTATTTTAATAACAAATTATTAATTCAATAATTTAAAGTTAATCCTCGAGGGAGCATTCCTGAGCATTACCATAATTAGAAATGTTCCAAAGAAAATAACATAAAATATTTGGCAATAACTACATGTAGCCTGCAAACCCAGACATAATTATTTCTGGTCATCGCTTCTCTCCATGTGAAAAGTAAGCTACTGTTCATGTAGAGAGAAATGTTGAACAGAAATACATCTGCATTCGTAGAAGAGAGTTTGTGATTTTGCTGCTGAGACAGCCAAAATGCAAAAGTGAACTAATGTTACTTTCACTACGTACAAAACGGATTGTCGCTGTCACATTTCTTTCCTCCTTTTCTGTTGATTGTTGGTGCTTTTTGAGAGGATTGTTGCCACGTTTCGGGGCCATGATGCCTGTCGCTTCCACCTCTTGGGAGGCTTCACTAATATATAGTCTAACATCTTCTAACAGAGAACCATCTGGTATGGGTACCTCTAATGCAGACATCATCTGGAGATATTTTAGAAAATTAAAAAAGATGGGACTGTAAGTTGTAAAGGGTGCTGCCCCACCCTTTCCCCTCCCACCTCCCTTAGGAAAAATTTTGATTCATCTATTAATATTTAATTTATTGTCTTTACTAGGGAACTCATGTCTGTTCCATTCCTGGTGTATATGTGCTACAGTGGAAGTACAAATCAGGTGCCCCTACTGGTCAAGCACATGGCCGTCATACCAGAGCCAAGGTTATGTACTATCATGAAGTACTGCCCTCTGGAGATTTCAGGTAATGGTTTAAATCAGAAAACTGTAAAATACTGGTGGAAACTGCACCCATAAGGCACTACAACAGCTTTGCCTTTCACCTGAAGGAAAAGCTTCCTTACCAACGTAAATTTCAAGGGGGAGGAGGAACAGTGCATTGGCAAACAGTTGGCACTGAGCTTTATGTCCATTGAAGCAAATATCCACATATCCCTCCCTACCCATGAAGGGTCATCGGAAACACCAGGGGGTGGTCTCTCTTAAGACTCAGAGGCAATCATATAAATCTAGAAATTTAAATTTCCAAAGGGGTTATAGGCCATCTATTTTGTCAAAACAAATTATTCATAAATTTATGTTTTGGTTTTTTACTATTTCAGAGGATCATTATCCAGTTTAGAGTCTTGTCACAGTGGTTTCTCCCAGTTAAGTGTATCAACTTCAGCAAGTCACTCATCTGGTGCAAGCAGTTCATCACGCCCATCCAGATAGCAACTACAGTCACGAGGGGCCTCAGCTGCAAGTCCGTCCCTCAAGCACACATAGCACAGCACTGCGAGATATAGTAGAAACTCAGAACCGGGCATGCCACATTTAAATGTGAATGTCGAATTTGTATGTCTTAAGCTTGTCTCATAGACACCCAAAGTGAATGCTGACTTTCCAAAGATGACAGTTGACACAAGTTCAATTATTTCCTTTTACTCCATTAATGCCACTTTTATCTGTTCAATATGATGGACTAGTAAATAGAACTATTAATTTTAGAATCAGTGCAGAAAATAATCTCAGTACATTCAACATTCAATTCTTGTTTTTTGTCTGCTGGCAGACAAAAAAAAGCAAGTTATGAATGTTGTTACAGCAGACATTTTCAAATCCTGATTCACTTTCAATAGTCCTTGTTTTTATGTCTATCATTTGGACATGTCAGTCGTTTATTAGAGCACTTTCATCAAAATTGTTTTATTTTTTGTTCGGCAGGATAAAATTTGGGATTGTCATCGTCTTCTAGCATTCGAGTACTTAACATATTTTGCTCTTTTGGTGTTGCAGTNTTTAAATTTCCAAAGGGGTTATAGGCCATCTATTTTGTCAAAACAAATTATTCATAAATTTATGTTTTGGTTTTTTACTATTTCAGAGGATCATTATCCAGTTTAGAGTCTTGTCACAGTGGTTTCTCCCAGTTAAGTGTATCAACTTCAGCAAGTCACTCATCTGGTGCAAGCAGTTCATCACGCCCATCCAGATAGCAACTACAGTCACGAGGGGCCTCAGCTGCAAGTCCGTCCCTCAAGCACACATAGCACAGCACTGCGAGATATAGTAGAAACTCAGAACCTGGCATGCCACATTTAAATGTGAATGTTGAATTTGCATGCCTTAAGCTTGTCTCATAGACACCCAAAGTGAATGCTGACTTTCCAAAGATCACAGTTGACGCGAGTTCAATTATTTCCTTTTACTCCATTAATGCCACTTTTATCTGTTCAATATGATGGACTAGTAAATAGAACTATTAATTTTAGAATCAGTGCAGAAAATAATCTCAGTACATTCAACATTCAATTCTTGTTTTTTGTCTGCTGGCAGACAAAAAAAAGCAAGTTATGAATGTTGTTACAGCAGACATTTTCAAATCCTGATTCACTTTCAATAGTCCTTGTTTTTATGTCTATCATTTGGACATGTCAGTCGTTTATTAGAGCACTTTCATCAAAATTGTTTTATTTTTGGTTCGGCAGGATAAAATTTGGGATTGTCATCGTCTTCTAGCATTCGAGTACTTAACATATTTTGCTCTTTTGGTGTTGCAGTCGTTGATTTTGCTTTATTATGCTACTCACTTTTCACTGATTTGCGGTTATACTACTGAATTTATTTATATTAACATTATGCACAATTTAAAGAGGCCAGCCCCTTTTGCAATATGTTCATTCTTTGTGTCAGATGCAACATCAAAAATACTTACAGTGTATTATATGAATTTTTGGCTAAGAAGAAACTGTTTATATTGAATATGTTCTTTGTCATAGCACCTGAATCAAATGCTTTTGTCAGAACATGAACAACAACTGTATAAAGATTTTAGAACTGAAAGGTTATCCTTAGAAGTGACAGAATTTTTTAAAGGTTTTTCTGAGAATCATCAATGAAAAAAATTATTGAATAACCCTTCCAGTCCCAACAGTGACCAACATCATTTTTCTCATAACGATATCCATACATAAATATTAGTAAAATGATGACCAAAGAGGAAATGGGTAGAGATCAGTGTGGACAATTGATATGTTTTTATTGAGGCTTAAATTCTTCAACTGGAAGAGATACGGAATTATTTGTAGGGCCTGTTGAACTTGAAGTTCATGAATTCAGTGGTGTGACCACTTGTTAAAATTTAGGGTTTACTGGTGAACTCAAGATAAATAATTTGTTAGTGAATTCAATTTTTTAATGCAGGTACTTTCAATATTTTGTCTTAATGTTACAGCAACTTCATAACTCAAAATGTGGCTGTGTAATATACAGTTCCATTTAGTGTTATGAAGAGTATGTAAAGTCGAGTTACAGTGTGGCAGTGTTGTCCTGTTTATGGAAGTTTTCTTTTTTTCTTACCAAATTGGTTGAAATGCTTTGGTGTTGGTTAAAAACTGAAAACCAATGGCTAGGAAAACTCCAAAAGTCATAAAAACTGAAAAACCACTGATTACTGATGCATTTTAAAACCAAATATATGGCTTCCAAAAATGACCTTGTTCACAAAACCACAATTCCCCACCCTCTTCAGGCAAGTTAATTTCACAAGACTTTTAGTATTGTACAGAAAGTAAATGGAGGATTTTTTGTACTTGACTTATTTAGCTACATGTTACTTGAGGTGACAACATGAGCAATATTTGTGTTAAAACTTCCCAGAATCAAGTTATTCAAATAATGTTGAGCATGGTACAAAGTGTTCGAAGATTTTCTGTAATTATTGATAAACAATTACTATCCTTTTTTTCCCACATTTGTGCATGTCAGTATTTAATTAATAATTTTTATCTTAAATCTGTATTAATTGTGCTCATTGGCCAGCTTGTAAATACACCTTGGGGTTTATAATTATGTATAAAATAGACTGAAAGGGAGATTTAACAGGGTTATGTTTTTTAAGCAACATTAATTATTTTATTGTCTATTATATTTGTTCTTTTGCTTCCTGAATATATTTATCATTATAACAGCTAAACTAATAATATAAAAGTGATGATACAAAGTAGAGGTATATTAAATAGAGTTATAAAGTGCAATAACTAAACAAAATAACGTCGTAATTTGTTTTTTTCTTTAACCATGTCATTGCTTAGTAATGTGAGGTGGAGGAATAATCATAGAGGGAGTAAGAAATTCATGTCTTCACGTAATTCCAATTTAGCATTTTTTGAAATTAAAAAACCAAAGGTTGCAATAAATACTAAGCACATAAAACTGTTTCAATAGAATATTTTCTACCAAAAGGCGTTTCAAGGAATTTGATTCCTACACTCTTGCATCTTATGGTATGTTTGGTACTCGTGTTACATGTACAAATAATTATTTTTCTCATTCCTAGCTGTGTTATTAACCCTTTGTCAATTCCTTTTGATTTTACTGATGTACAGATTTTTTGAAGTTTGAATAAAGTTATTGCATGCCTTTATTTGCAGTTAGGTTCATTGTGTTTTTACAAATCTTCAGGTTGTCAGCAATATAGTCATTTTTTCAAGTTTCTGACAACTCTCACAACCCCAACCGGTGAGGCAATTGCTTGTGCTCTTCTACACAAGTTTAAACGAGAAAAGAGATCATAAGCTTACACATTACCACAGATGTAATCTAAGCCCAGTTAGCAATGTCTGCAAAGAAGAAATCCTTGTTCTTGTACAGAGCTTGCTCGCAGGCTACTGAGGCACAGGCCGCATACAATAAGGGGTCTTTCACCATTCTTTAGACACACCATAACAACCTGGTTATTAGCACCTCTGGGGTCATAGGCCATCTATTTTGTCAAAACCCAGTTGTAAGCAACCCCCTCTATCACAGGCTAATTTCAGTCCTTGATTTGTTATGTTCCAGTTTAAGTAAGAGTTTGAATTTTTGCTTGTATTAAAATATTAGATTATGTTTTGCTGAGAAGAACAAAGGCTATTATTTTTGGAGATCTTGTGTAATCCTTTGAGTTTGATTGTTTGATGAATGATATATATTAACACTTTCACCACCAGAATGAATGAGTCGCGTGTGGTAGTTGTAACCATGTTCTGACTTTTCAGTCTGTTGAAAAAAAACCTTTGGTGTGACCATGCAAATAAGACCTCTTTGGCAGGACCTTCACATGGTGCTATTTCTTTTTTAACAATTTTCAAAATGAAATTTAGGAATTTGTTGCCTTTTGACTTTGGCTACTTCTAGGAGTGTAATAGTTAAACAGACATTATTTTTGGCCTGAGACCAGAGTTAGTCACCCGATATTACGTTGAACGGTATTCAAATTTCGTACTAGTATCTTACTTGTTCAACGTTACTATAGACACTTACAAGATCTTCACGATCGTAGAAAAACAAATTCAAAAAGAACACTAAGAAGTCGGTAAACACCATGTAAATTGGTAGAAGACTGGATCTCCTTCCTGCACCAGTCTGCTCCATACGCCAAAGATGACTGCTCCTTGTATGATACTTCTTTCTTTAGGCACTCACCTCCTAAAGCAAAAGCACTTAGTGAGTTAGAAAGAAACAGAGAAAGATTATAAAACATTATTCTCTCCCGTTGTGAGGCTTTTCAGAGATATTGAAACAAATAATTTAACAGGGGCTTAACTAATTAAGAATCTCAACTGGTAGGAGGCAAACCAGTTGGCTATTTTGTAAGCCAAGGCTGTGCTCTTAGGAAAATTGAAGGTAGCCCAGTGCTTTGAAACTGTAAAATCTAGGGTGTCCAGCATATGATTTGTATGAAAAATCTGAGATTTTCTAGTCACCCAAGGGCAAAAGTTAGGTGCCAGGGGCCACCGGGCTCTGCTAGAGCACAGCCCTGTAAGCATGGCAGAGGATTTGAACTCAGGTCAACTGAGAACAAATCCAGCTAGTGGTCAGGGCAGGACTTGAACTCTGGGCCTCTGAATTACAAGTCCAGTGCTCTAACTGCTCAGACATGCCATGTGATTACTTTACTAGGTTTCTTTATAGTAGTCTTGGACTTTGAAAATTTCCTTCAGGCTTAAAAAGTGAAAGCAAAAAAGCAATCTTGGTGAACTTTTATTTATGAGCTTACAATTTGTGAAGGCTGTCAAAAGGATTGTACAATGTGGATCGAAATACCTGCCACTCCAATAATCCTTGCTGTGTTAAAAACTGAAACTTCCACTTGGCAAAAATTCATGAATGTGATTACCAATATTTTTTTTATGACCACTACTTTGTTGCAAGTCAATCAGCATAAATTAGCAATTTAAGCATGTGCTCTCAATGTACATTTTTAAAAAGAAACCTGGACAACTTTCTAACCTTTGCAAGAAATGAAATTGAGAATGTGGAAACCATCATACATGCAGGCTGTCAACATTGTGTTGCCATGGACTGGATGCCATTTGATCCGCCACACCCCTCCCCCTGGACTTGATGAGCACAATGGCTGCTTCATGTTTCTGGTGTCCCAAAGGAGAATGTTCTCATCATAGCTGTCCATTGGATAACAAACCAGGCATGAAGTCTACATGTATCATCATCACAGTAAAGTATGGTTAAAGACATGTGAAACACATTGTGTTTAAGTTAACACTGCATACAAAGCACTCTTCCTTCGGTGCACTTATCTGGTTTTTTACTATACACAATTTATCCTACACCCTTTCTTATACACTTCCTTAAATATTAATCACATTGCTACACTGTAAAACACTTTCGAGGGGTACACTATTGGAATACCAATTAGGGCTTTTAAAATGTAAGGGTAATCAAGGGTGTACCACTTTGTCATTTCAAAATGGTAACTCTAAGGGCTGAAAATGAATTTGATCCATCATTCCCTTAAAACAAGATTAGCATACCTTTTATAAGCTGTTAGGAAATTTTTGGATTAGCAGAGAACCTTGTCAACTTAATTTTTGTGTTGTTTATCAAGTTAAGAATTTCATTCTTTTTTTTATATAATACCCACCTGCCAGTTGCCATAATGTGATCATAACAAGGATTACACTGGATACTGCTTACCCCCATCTCATGTCTGGAATGCGTACACAGTTAATATACAATATTATTAATTTGTTTTGTATGGGTATTCAGTAACAAGGGAAAGGTTTTTCTTGAATTGCAGTCAGTAACCCGAGGCAAAGTACACATGACCTTCCAGGTAACCTCACAGTATAGGGCAAGCTATATACATGGATATGATAAATTGTAGATCAGCAGTGATGATATTTTTGTGAAGAGGGTCTGGTTATCAGACACTCCTAGTCGATGGTTAAAATAATATTGTAGAGCTATTCACCAGTGCCTAGAAACCAACTGAAATCATATCAGGCCGTTGGGTACATTCCACAGTCATATAGTTTGAATGATGCATAACGTACAAGTCACAATGCTGATAAAAAATGACCCGAAAGCTAATATTGACAGCAGGCCTAGGGTTGACGTTGCTTGTGATAAAACCCTGACCTGCAAAATATTGTTCTGAAGAAGGTTATACAAACACTAAGGGACAGTTGAAGAAAATAATTTAAATGTTCCTGAGTGTCTGATAACCAGCTCAGTAAAGGAACAGTACAAGAGACAGTCAGCACATTCTGAACAACTAGATGAGTAGTATAAAAGTAAGCTGTACAAATAATACTAATACTGTAAAAAAAACCGCATGAAAGATTTAACTATACATGGGCTTGTAAAGACCAGGGCCCGGTTGTTTGAAGGCCAATTAGTGCTAAACTGGGGTTAAATTTTAATCCCGGTTTCTTTTTAGCTTTTTAAACCTTCATATCTGAATTCAAATTCCACACTGACCCTGGGCTATATTTTTAAAACCCAGCTTTGAACAACCCAGCTCAGCAGAATATTGTTCTGAAGAAGGCTCTACAAACACTAAAGGACAATTAAAGAAAATCATTTAATTGTCCCTGAGTGTCTGATAACCAGCTCAGCCAAGGAACATTCCAAGAGATAGTCGGTACATTCTGAACGGCTAGATGAGTAGTATAAAAGTAACCTGTACAAAAATAATACTAATGCTGTAAAAAGTTGCATGAAAGGTTTAACTAAGGTGGACTTGTCCAGACCAGGACCCAGTTGTTTGAAGGCCGATTAGTACTAAACAGTTACTGGGGTTAAGTTTTAATCCCAGTTTCTTTTTTTTTTGTTCTAAAGCACTTTGTGGGAGAATTTTATGTATCCTTCACCTAAGGGCTCGTGAAATTACGTATAACACCAAATATCACTACAAATCGTGCTATTACCTATACAAATATTCATCATCATATTATCACATAATTATTATTAATGGAGTTTAGGTTGAAGTTGCAGTGGCCATGGCCAGTAGAAATTCTTTGGAGTCACAGACACATTTTTGGCTTATTTGTAAACACTGCATTTCTGACAGATTCATACAATAAAACAGTAATATCCACATCACATTTACCTCTTACTAGAAAATGTTGGCTTCTGGCAGTCTGTTCTTGTATCCCAGCCTCGCAGAAGACAGTCATCTCCACCTAGTTATATGTATCAAAAATGGTGACATTATTACTGTTACAATCACTATAATAAATTAATCATTTTTTAACAAAATTCAAACAAGTGAAAATTAATAAATATAATAATTATTATTGAACAATGCTTAAGCATCAAAATAGCTGCCAAACCAAGATCGACTCAGATTTTTGGAGATGCACACCACATCTAAACTTAGGCTTTCGTACAGACACCAGAGTCTTAGAGCATATAAAGAAATATTTCATGAAATTGTTCATCTCACTTTAAACTTGAGAGAGACCATCAACACTAATAGTAAAAATGCTACAGCTTTGGCCGCATGACTGCCTAACACAGGTTGCCAAAGTTTGAATCAGACACAACAAAGACAGTTTCAGAAAAGGTACCAGAGTAAACTATGTCAGAATTCCAAGCATCAAATGCTGTAATCCAAGCTTCATACTGATGACCAATCCATTGTAAAGTTTGACAGAGCTTGGATGTGCCTTCGTCAAATTGGCATAAACTGACCTGGCCTCCAGAATCACTCACTGCAATTACACTGTATAAGAAGTAGAAAAAATAGCAATAACCTCTCTTCCTCTCTTTCCTTTTTTTTATTGTAACTTTACATGGTTATCATAACAGACTGAAGTCAATCTTTCATAAGAACTAAGAGTTTAAAACCTTAGTTACAAATGAATAAAACTCATCCTTTGGGAGCCAACCCACAGCCATAGATGTAGAGGACAACCAAAATCAACACTAGCTGATATCTTAAAGCGAGATGCTGATGTGTACTCTGGTGAGGAGTTAGAGGTACTGATGCATGATTGAAGAGTTTGGAATAATCTTGTCAAGGCTCGGCTGTGGCCAACTTAGTAGTAGTAGTACTAGTAGTATTAGTAGTAGTAGTAGTAGTAGTAGTAGTAGTAGTAGTAGTAGTAGTAGTGGTAGTAGTAGCGGTAGTACAGATAAATACCTCCATTCCTATCATTGTCCTCTTACATATCGTGTTCATTTAATATATAAAATTATTGTATCTTTAGTACTAGTCTTGCTTTATGTACATAAATTATAAATTTATTGAACAACAATATTTTATTGGATGAGGCTGAATAGTATAATAATTATTTACATCATGAAGGAATGTCTGGCAAGGTCACAGACCAGGCCTTGTCAGCCATAGCTGGTTATGAGGAATAAGACAAGGGGTTCAAGCCAGAGATGGAGAAGTATTTTGAATGAATAATGATTTTCTAATTTAGCATTTATAAAGATCTTGTAAAAAGAAATACAGTGAAATACTCAATGATGTACAAGAAATAAATTCATTGCTGTTTTCATACCTTTTTCCATTCTTTACTGACCAGTCCAAAGAGAGACACAACTTCTGTGGACTTGCAACAAAACTTGTTACTTCAACTAATCTCTATAAGCAAAATTGAGGCTCAAAGTCAATTCCAAGCAAAACAATATTACGGTGATGATTGACGATATGTGACTAAAGCACGTACTAAGGTTTGGTCTACATCAGGGCACCATGCCACTAAACACAAGTTTATTAATAATTACTAATCATATATGCCTTACAGTTCTGGAAAATGTTAACATTTTGTCCTTGTCTTCTTAGTAGATGTGTGACAAATGGTGGTAATTTGCTTATTACAAATTATTAATATTTCCAACATCATCCTTTGAAATCTACTCCTTCCTTGTCAAGAGAAAGGAGAACAATCTTGCAGGTTTGACAGACTGCTTTTTAATCCTGTTTCTGCTGGGTGTCCAGTGAATACAAAGGGAAAAATTGAGAATGGATGCCATTTTATCTGACGCAGAAGTCTCTGTCAGTTTCATGCACGCTACTTCCCCCTATACCTAGTTTTCACATAAAAATCTTGTGACATCACAGAATTGGAATGCAAACCACAATTTATCAATCTGTGATTATTACCAGTCTGTAGCAGCTTTTAACATTATTTATACCATTGACCAACAATCTAGTCTTACAGGAATTAACACGGTGCATACCTTTTCTTTGAGAAAAAATATCTTCACTTCACCATCTGATGTAACAGCTCCAAGAACAGGACACCCATTTAGTGAAGTGGGTAGCCTGTGAATAGTTTAAGGAATTTTTTAGGGGCCACACCATACACTGTCCTTAAAGCTTTACTACTATACAAACTTGTAAAAAAAGAGTTGGAGAATACTTCAGGCAAAAGCAGAATAAACTTACCATTTTGTATCTAAAATACCACCAAATTCAAAACTTTGCAGTTTCTCCAATCTAAAGACAATGAATTCAAAACACTTAAATCATTGAAAGATGTGTTCAGGGATCAGAGATGCATTGAATGAAATAAGGTGCCTGGCCTCAACCCTTTAAAACCCAGACAACAGATATTCTTATCACATGAGTAATACATGGTATCAATGGCTTGTAGGGAGAAGGCAGTCAAGAGACAGGGCTGTTATTTGTGTATTGTTATTTTCATGCAACCTGATTGGTCAACTTTGTGAAGGTGGTCCCGGTTAGCAGTTATAGTATCATACTGTAAAACTAACGCAAGATGGGCAGGGAGTGGTTTGAAAGTGGCAGGAACTATAGCCTCTGGACAAGATTTCAAGAGCATATCCTTCAGGTGTAGCTACACAGAACAATCCCTGCTTCATATATTTTTGCTTATTGTATATGTCATAGTTAATTTTTTACCTCAGGTAATTTTTCTTTTTCTCTTGTCTTTAGGTATGGTAATGTACGCTAATGAAGTTGAAACAATCGAAAAACAAAAATTACCTGAGATAAAAAATTAACTACAAAATATATGTTTCAGGTCAAATTTGATTTCAGGTTCTATGGTAATTTTTTACTCTTGGTTGATTCTTAATTTCCTTTGTCTCCTAGCTCTAATTCATGAATAATCAGGGCTAGGAGATAAAGAAAATTGAGAATCAACCAAAGTTAAAAAATTTTAACCTGAATTTAATTTACACCTGTAACATATACCCCAAACCCCCATCCCCTAGAAATGCATCAAAACAAATCCTCCCCTTCCCCTCCCCCTCCCTTCTCCAAGTTCCTCAAAATGGGGGAAGGCCCTTAAAATATCTACAAATATGTCCTAATACCCTTTCATTCTTTCGCGTTGTTTCTTTTTCCTTATAATTACTGACAACAACTACAACAAATAGCAAACAATGATGATAATTTCTTACCTCTGAAGCGTTTCATCAAGGCAATACAGTTGAACATTACCCACTCGAATGTTACTATCAGACTGACAGTCACTTGTGCTTATTTTCTCCAGAAGTTGATAAGTTCCACAAACGAGATAGGTTTCAAAGCCTTTTATAGGACACCATTCAACAGTATCCGCGTAATAACCGGTGTCTAAAGAACACAAAGTTCTTGAGCACATTTCTTACTATCCAAGACCCTCTAAGACGCTTTCGCTACTCTGTGTTAGCGAAATATACCATCGCACACCCAAGTGGTATGACGAGCTTACATGAAGCAGGAACTTTAATGCGGCGCGCGCATACAGGAAGATGGCGGCGGCTAAGGGGAAAAGTGTCGGTGGAACTCAAAGAATTCTCCAAAAGCTTAACAAAACGATCGAAGATGGTGAATATTATGAAGCTCATCAGCTTATAAGGACGCTTTATTTTAGGTTTGTTTACCTTAATGTTTTTTTCAGTTTACTAGTAGGTGAAATAAAGTGCAAGTTCATAGACGGTTTTTCCGGTGCCAACATGTAATGTATACATGAGTGGGAGGTTAAATGTTCCAATACCGATCCGGTGATACTATTTTTGTACCACGTTAGATAACCGTTTAAAGTAGATGTTATTTATCTCTTAATTTGAGTCGATCAGGTTTTTTCTTATCATAAATAGTATTAAAAATTCATGTCAGCTGTTTTTGGACCGCCATCTGTAGACGATTACGTTGCAAATTTTATTTTCGTAATAAGTTTCAGATTGGTAATATTGCTGTTTTATGTTTGCAGTGTTAGGCATAAAATAATCCTCTCAAAATAGTCTGGGCTCTAAACTGGTTGCTAGTCCTTTTAATTATCTAGATCAATGGATTTAATACTTTTTTATGTCAACAAAGCCTGGATTGAAATGGATCAGATCAACTGCTTAAGGTGAAAGGTTAGGGTTAAGGGGTACAGGGGATTGATCTGATTTGTTCTGATCCATACCAGGTTTTCTCAGTCAAGATGCAAGGCATAATGCACCTGTCTAGATACAATTTAGATGCTCCACATGGCCACATAACTAAAGAAGCTGAAGAATACGTCATTTATCAGCCAGCTTTTTATTTCATTTTTTCATTGTTTCTTTGTAGGTATATATCTCAAAAAAGCTATGAAGATGCCATAGAGATTGTACATAATGGAGCATGCTTATTCCTTAAACACAAACAGGTAATACCAGTAATAACAATAACAGAGTTTCAGGCTTCACTCAATCAACAATTCCACTGGGGAAGTGTTTGGAAGGACACATGTCTGTCCTTTTTTTAAAAGCTTTATTAAGTTCATTAATAATATATTAGCATAGGAAAGTAACCCAAAGTACAAGGCAGACTGGCTGTCGAAACTGCCTGATAGGATGATAGGCAAAGCCTGTTATGATGCTAACAACTTCAAGCAATCAGGGTAAGATAGTCTGACCACAGCGTAAGAGCTATGAACAAAACCAACTGATCCACCCATGTTGCTTACAGGTAATTGCAGACTGTTGTCTTGAGTTTAATCCTAACACCCTTAAATATGATTGTTTCCATGGACTCATGGCTTCTTCTCTTGTTTATCTCTATTGATAATACAGATACAGTGTATAGATGTTACAAGTCAAAATTAAAAAATTCAGGAAAAATTTTTTCACCTAATTATTCATGAATTAGGGCTAGGAGACAAAGGAAATTGAAAACCAAACTAGGTTAGCCTGAATATAATTTTGACCTGTAACATGGATCTAGATGGTGTACTTGTAGTGTCTGCATGGATTTGTACCTTTCCTCAACTCTAACAATAAGACTAACATTTGTGGCGGGGGGGGGGGGGATTTGGCCCGTCTTAAAAAAAAAAAATAGACCTTATAATTAAAACAACCCTTTTTTTAAATAGTAAAAAGGGGTTTTCTTCTTTTAACTTTTTTTTTTTCCTTTTTTGATGACTTTCTTGTGTATAAAATTTTTTATTTGTGGGGGGGGGGGGGGGAATTCGCCAGTCGTAAAAAATAAGACATGCACTTATCAGTATAAGCAACCTTTTGTTAATATGTAAAAATGGGATCTGTCATCTTAACTGTTGTTTCTTCCCTTTTGAATGCACTTCAGTCTGTAAGATATTTTATTTTTTTAATGAAATAAAATCTGTTTTTTGCTGTCTTTCAGGAAGGAAGTGGTAATGATCTAGCTTTGTTAATGATTGAGTGCTTTAGAACAGCACATATTCCTGTTGGAGACAGTGCGCTTGAGAAGATTAGGAGTATATTTGAGCTTTATGAATCAGGATCTCTAAACAGATATGAATTTATTAGAGAAGCTATAAAGTAAGTCAAAAGTATTACTGTATTATGTTCATTAATTTTAGATTGTACCTTCTTCCATTTATGGAATAAGTAATGTCAGAGAAACTCCTGAGTCTATCATTAGTCAAAGATTCCATGTGATATGATGAAGAGCATCATAAACTGTAATTTTCCATAATATAAATGGAAAATCAAACACAAACCAAATGTACCAACTACAAATTGTGGTCATAAAATCTCTGCTCAAACTCCAAAGGTAGAGTAAAATGTTAGCCTAAATTTCAGCTATCTCCTCAAGTATATCACTCCTACTCTCTCTTAGGAGGAAGCAAATCAAGGGGACCTCTGAAATCCCAAGGGGCACTCTCAGTAATTTTCAGGCAAGCTACCTGAATGTTGTGGCTCAAATTTTTGATGTGGCTAAACGAATTTTGAAGAACTTACTGGGTTTTCCTGTCGCTGAACATGTTATCATGCTCTAGTTCATGGAATTAAGTACTCGGGGAAAATGGGCAATGGGAGTTCCTGAAGATGAGCCTGATTTTATGGCTTGGCACCAGTCATCCGCATGGCTTAAACTTCGACTTTCATTTGCTTTAAACTGTGTGCAGAGTCGCGCGTGCACTGCAAAGTTATTTTTCTATTTTTTTATTTGTTGGTTTTTGTAAACCTTGCAACAATCTAATGTACTTGTGACTCCACTGATGAAGGGCCAGGCCCGAAACATCTGGAAAGAAACTCAAACTACAACACGGCACTTTGTTCATCAGTACTTTGTTCTGAACATTACTCACTTTCTAAAGTGCTGCGCAGCTTATCATAACTTTTTTTCCCATTGTTTGTTTGATATACTGTTATATTGCTACTTTGTTTAACAATCTGTTTAGGTACTTCACACAATGTAATTCTGAACAGGAATGAAAACTCTTCTTTTATGCATTTCTTAAAATTATTAATTTTGATTTTAATTTTCAGATGGACATCAGATACAGACCCATCCCTTAAATATGGCCATCCTGAGTTACATCTCCTTTGTGCACATAGATTTTGGAAGGGTTAGATTTTTTTTTACTTTTTTGACAGTAATAAATGATCAAATTATTAATAATCATTGCAATAGAAAAACAACATACATTTAGCCTGCTATTTTTGGATGACTTCATGCATTTCATTTCTTTTGAAAATAAAAGTTATTTCATTTGCCCTTTGTTTTTTGTTTAGTGGTTTCATTTTAACTTGTTCCTGGTTTTCATTGTTTCACAGAAAAGAACTTCAGTGATTCACAGTATCATTTCCTGTTTACTTCTGATGGACAGCAGTGTGCAGCCATGCTGGTGGAAAATGCTACATCACGGGGATTTCCAGGAGAAGCTGACTTATTTGTCACTCAAGCAGTTTTACAGTACGTAATATTTATAGTAATAATAATGATGATAATTATTATTATTAATGCTTAATATCGATCAGTTTGTAAGCAATTTGCAGGTGGAAAAATAATGTATAATTACTTGTATTTTAAATCTCAATAAAATTTGTTGTTGGTGTTTGTTTGCCTTGCTTGTCAACTACAGATCTGGTGCATTAATACATGATGACCATGCCCCTTAAAAACCTAAAAATATTTTGTGAGAGCACAGCAAAACTAAAATCTGACATGTAACTATTGTGCACTTCTGTGCTGTTTAAAAGTATTAATAATGATATTAATTTGCTTCCACAAATTTCACTTTCCAAACATGTGTAAACAGTTGTTCAACAACGCAATGACAACACTTAATGTGATGAAATATCCCTTACCTTTTCAGGTTTCTTTGTTTACAAAACATCATTACAGCCAATGTTGTGTTTTTCAAGTACACAGCTCAGCATCCAGACTTCTCTGGACTTGGACCTCCTTATCAAAAACCTCTTCTTAATTTTGTTTGGTTCCTGTTACTAGTCATAGAGAGGTTTGTGCTTCTGTTAGTAGAGTCATAGTTTTTAATCCACAAGGTCAAAAGATAGATTCTTTTTTGTCCTTATAAAAACTCAGCTTCTGTAAGAATGTCATTGATTCATGTGACTTTTTCTTGTACATAAGTTTCATTTTCATAAAAAAAATTGAATGAAAGCAAAACTTTGCTGCCTAAAAATGAATGTCTATTTGTCTTTATAACCCATGCTGCCTACTAAAGTTGATCAAAGTTAGAATTACAAATGTGTTTTTTTTTACAGGAAAGGCAGTTTAAGTCAGTTCACAGTGTTGTGTGAAAAATATCAACCATCCATTGAAAGGGATCCAGTATATAAAGAGGTAAGGAAGGTCTGCTTTTTCTCTCTTTCAAACATTGAATTGGCATGTAATGCTATCAAGATTTTTTGAAGTAGTATGTAGGGAAGAGGGTACTCATTATATAGCATTTAGGGTGAAAATGTTTACATGCACCCCTCCCCTCTTGTCCCCTTCCCCACCCCACCGCTTAAAATGTTATGTCACCTGGTGGTTCTGATGTAGTTTTTCCATGGACTGTTATTTTTAATAGTCAAAACAATCCTTAATGTTTCAACATGAATCCCAGTCTGTAAATAACCACCACCTTTTCATGGTACTTTGTATTGCAGTATCTAGATAAGATTGGACAGCTGTTCTTTGGTGTTCCTCCAAAGCCATCCAACAAAGGAATGATGGGGGGCATTTTAGGTGAGCCTTTCAAGTATTTAAAAGCAGAATAACCCTACCAGCATTGACAGCAATATCAAAAATACTGGTACAACTGCATTTTTGAGAAACAGCTTTAGTGTAATTTGAATTGGGACCAAAAGAAGACTAAAAAGGCTTTAGATTGGTATGTTTTGGCGGGTTATTATCAGGAGAGGATCCAGGATTTTCATTTTTATTTTCCCTAGCAATTCCCCAATGGCTAAAACCTTATGCTATGAACTTGTCATTCTTCTTTTCTTGCAGGTGATTTGATGCAGACTTTGATGGGCGGGGATGATGGCAATAGTGCGTCAGCATCACAGTCAACCGTTATTGAATCAGAAGAAGTGGACTAGTAATAACACCTATAACTAAATTATCTTTTACAATGTATGCTGTGGACAGTTGACAAAGGCCTGCCCTGCAGCTGTTGAACACACAAGATACTAGCTTGTCATTAAGATTTTTAACTCAAGTTATCTGGAGAACTGACGCAGTTATTTGTCAACTCAGCTGTTGCCATTTTATGCATCTCAGCTTGTTTATCACAGAAGAGGCTCATAAGAGGAGATCCCTGTTATAGCATAGTTCCATGACACTGGTAAAACACACAGCTACAGTGTAATTGGGTCCCCAGTGGTAGCACCCAGGCTTTGAGTCAGGAATCACAAATGAGGTGCTTTTTAATGCATTCTCAGCCAGTAATTGGCTGTCTTATACAGTGAAGCCTGTACTTAGCCTGGATATGTATGGGACCTTCCCTTGATGTGGGCGTCTGCCTAATACCAGTTGGATTGACAGGAAATGTGGAAAGAAAATTTTAGACTTCTGATGTTTGTGTCTCCTCAAGACAGGAAGTCTGCACAACATAAGATTCACAGTATTGCCCTTGGTACCACTAAGTTCACTAGAGAGACAGTTGTCTCACATCATTATCACCTCACTTTGCTTTTTAAATCTCATGTCAAGTTTGTTGTGAACATTTAGACTTCATGTAAAGTGCTGTTGTCTCTTTGTTTGCTCTTTATGCTTTAGATTTTGAAAGCTATTGGTAGGAGGCCAGTGCATCCTTCCACAGTAATATTTTATATCACAGACTTCTAGACTTCTCTCATCCTTCTGCATTTCTCTTTCCTTAAGTTGGCATTTCCATGGTCTGCCCTTGCATATTTTTCAAGCCCTTATATGAACATTAGGGTGTACTTTAAGTCTATCCTCAGCCTGCAGTGCAAAGAGAGGACTTATTATTTCTGGCATCATGTTCCTTTTGGAAGGTTGAGGAGATTTGAAAATCCAACCAAGATGGCAGGCATGAGGATATACAGCTGTTCTTTAACCTGTCGCCCTCATCCTCCTCCTTCCCCTCCCTTTCTGCCCCCTTTGAGTCGTTCACCACAACCTGTGTGAATTCTCATGTCTCTTTTCACCCCCGAAAGCTCCTGACTGCTGCGTAAAATTTTCATGGTATTCCTAATCCTAGAATAGCCTTGTATCCCATCCAGGGCACGTAATAATACTCCTACTTGCTTTGAATAACTATAGTTCTTCTTTCTTTGATTACTTTGTACCCCCATCCTTCCCACTCATGCAAAGATACTTGCAGTGATATGATTCAACTAATCTGTTATTTTCAGAATTTCTAAGGCTGTGATGTAGCAAAAATTATGGGAAGTCCAAAGTTTTGAACCTATGAAATCTAGTTACCCCGTAGGAAGTCGCCCACAGGGGCCTTCAGGAACAGTTAGAGCACAGCCTTTACTTCTTCCAAAACTAAAAAAAGCTTTTGAGCAAGCCCTTGATTTTGCTTTGTTCTTTATTTCTGGATCAAAACTGTTATGTTTCTTTTAATTTTTAACCTTAACCTTTTAAGTCCCAATATTGACATGCAAATTCTCCAGACTGATCTCCATATATTTCTTATAAAATTAGTGGAGAGAATTTGTTATATGATCAAGGTATTTTCCCTTTAGTGATCATTTTGTTTATTCTCATAACCTTTTTTTTCTTTTGAGTATCCATTAATGTTAGTAAGAGAAACTCTGGATCATTATACGTTTTTGGGGAAACTGTCCACCTACCCCTCCCGGTCCCTAAGCCAGCAATAACACTTACTTTTCACTTAGAGCAAAATGTTGGTTCAGGGGAGGGGTAGGTGGGCAGTTTGAAACTCTTGGGACTTCAAGTGTTACAAAGGACAGTGCTGCCCCTCTCCCTGAACTGTTCTCCTTACACTTCCTGTCTTGGTAAGGATATTTAATTAGAAATTGATTAAGACTGTTTGACTTGCTGATCATTTTCTTTGTTCTCTTTTCTCTTATGTTGGAAAAAAAGCGGTTATTTCTTAATGAGAAATCCGATATTTGCCACTGTTAGGGCTTTAAGGTTAAGCCCTGCAGCATTCATTACCTATTAGTGGAATTAAACTGGGTTTTTAATATTTCAAAAAGACTACGGATATTTTTCTCTCAAAACTGATGTTTACTTGTCCCTCTCTAGTTAATGAGTGGGTCGCGTGGTGTTGTGGGAAGGTAATCTCATACCCATATTTCCCTAGTGTCCGTCTGTTGGTTCCTGACCGTGGGAGATCTGGATACTAGATTAGCCAAAAGTTTTTCTTCCCTAGCTACCGCCCCATGTGGAAAAGAAAGAATGTTCAGTATACTATTTGCCTAAAAGACTAGATAGTCGCTTTTCAATTTCCCTCAAAGTTACGGTGAAAGAAAAGCCATTGCTGTAATTTTAGCCTGTAAGCAGGCTCTCCATTTGAGGGAGTCGCGAGAAGTCACGCGAGAGCAGCACGCAAAAAAAAGATGCGAGTTCGTTTTCTCCCAGGTTGCTTCGCTCGCCATAAATGGAGAGCTTGCTCGCAGGCTACTGTAATCTGTGCGGTATCGCTTTTGGGGTGACAAGAGAAAATACAGAGATAAGTCATATTTTGAAAAGAAAAATGTAAATAAATCATTCTTTGATAATTTAATTAAAAGGAGTTTAGTTGCTGTGTCTTTCTTTTTTTCCGGTTGTTGGGGGTTGGGGTTGGGCGTGATCCTCCTGGAGAGGGATTCAGCAGCCCCCCACTCCCCAATGCCCACTGTTAGCGTAGCCACCAAAGGACAAAGACTTCTGCTGAAACGCTATAGATGAAACAGGAAGCAATACCAGGATAATGCAATGGTGTACGGGCCGTTTATCGAAAGGGTCCGGAATGGAAAGCTATCCATGGATTTGATCGAATTTAACAGTTTCGTAGATTTCGGGCCCGAAAAGTTACCTGGCCTCTCAAGAAACAGGCCCCTAGACCCGACTTGCTTTGTTAGGCGCCCTTAAAGTTCATAATTTCACGAATTATCTGAAAATATCTTGTTAGCTCTTACCCCACTCCCCCCAGCCGCCCCGTCCCACCTTCCGTCTCTTTCTTTATACCGTCTCATTTCGCGTGTCGCTCGTGCGTGATTCTCACGTAGGACCATGCTTGCAGGCTTAGGTAGATTTGTGCACTGTATCTTTTTCGTTTTTTGTTGTTCAGCCTGAGGTGGCCTCCTTCTCTTTTCATTTTTCTCTTTCTTTTCTAGTAGAAGCGTCAGTAGCTCTAGCTACAAAATCAATAATCAAACTCATATTTCATTTAGTTCAACTAGTCTTCCTTCCGCAAGACAAATCCAAATCTTAGCATTTGTTTCCACACTCTTTGGAAGTTCTAAGAAAATGATGGAGGATTGAAATGACTAGGCTGGAAATGTCGACCAGCCGCTGTTCGGGAAGTAGGAAATGACCAAGGGCACAAAAGACCCTTTCCCTCCCAACCCTAATGAAGAGGCCCTTGTCCGACATCCCATAATATGTCTTACTATATAAACTCGCGAAGCTTCCATTCGTTCTTCTCAGTAAGACAGAGACATCACGTAAGTAATGTCGAGCGAGTGGGTAATGTTATCGAAGCGCATCTGCCCTCATCATACTCGGTTCGAAGACTTTTTCTCCTGTTTAAAAATCTTTGATAATTTCTTGGTGGATCTGAATTGTTTTTGTGTCGCTACAACCACGTTAAAACTGCTTTTGAAGACAATAAATTTGCTTTCAGTGAAATTTTAGTTGACGGGACGCACGAGGAAGATTGCGAAACTGACATGTACATTTCCCGTTGATATCTCGTCGAAAGAATAAATAAATCCGAAAAAAGTGACGACAGATAAACTCGTTTTTCCCGTAATCGACGCTTTTGACAAAACAATGAAATTAACAGCAGAAATTTGTTTTCCTACAGCAATGGCGGATTCGGAACCAGCCGGTGGTGGACGCGGAGGTTTTCGTGGTGGATTCGGTGGCCGAGGCCGTGGAAGGGGCCGAGGTCGGGGCCGAGGACGCGGTCGTGGAAGGGGTAAAGCAGATGACAAAGAGGTAAAAAGTCTTATTTTATGTCTGTTACAAGGATAGAATCACCTTGATTTGATTCTCCACCCGGGGTTAGTTGTGGGAGGGTACTCCACAAGTTTGTTTTTTGTTTTTATATCTTGCTTCTTTTGCTGTCCAGTATGACTGGAGCACAAGGATCCTATGTAGATCTTAGTAGGACGTGAACAATCGATGAAAATCGATGATCGGAAAATCAATCGATCAATCGATTAATTGCTGTTGATTAGCATTGATTGGCATCAGCCAATCGATGATCAATCGATAATCGCACTTGGGTGGTAGCGAACTTCATCGACTCCCATTGATTGATATTGATAATCGATGATGATGAATAATCGCAAAAATTTTCGTCATCGATTGTCCATCGATTATCAATATCAATCGATTAATTGATATCGATTGTCATCGATTGTTATCGATTGCCATCGATTATCGATTTCATCGATTGTTCACATCCTGTCTTAGGGGTAAGAGGATTCTTTGTGGGGGTAAAAACCATTTTCGTGATTCCATCAATTTCTTTAAAAATCAAAAAAGCATCTGTTCCTTGCTTAATCAGTCTCAGTTTGTGAACAATTATCTTGGATCTGGCAAAATACAGGAACAAGGGCTAGATTACCTACAGAGTTGTATTTGTGCTTACCTACAGAGTTGTATTTGTGCTTTGCTTCTGATGAGGATTATGGTATCGTTTTCAGGCAAAACATGTATTATTTTTACATCTGTTATTTCTGAATCGTGTCTTATTTTTAGTGGGTTCCAGTGACCAAACTTGGTCGCTTGGTCAAGGATATGAAGATCAAAACCTTGGAACACATCTACCTCTTCTCTCTTCCCATTAAGGTAAATATCATTGATTTTATTTGTTAGGTCATAATGACACTGTCTGAGTGTGAAACAATTTACTCTATTATACCGACTCAGTTAATTCACTTGTCTCTTACAGGAGCATGAGATCATTGATTTCTTTCTTGGATCTGCCCTGAAAGATGAGGTACTGAAAATCATGCCGGTACAGAAACAAACCAGGGCAGGACAGCGTACACGTTTTAAAGCCTTTGTTGCCATTGGCGACAGCAATGGCCATGTGGGTCTTGGTGTCAAATGCTCTAAAGAAGTGGCTACAGCCATCCGTGGGGCTATCATCCTTGCTAAGCTGTCTGTCATTCCAGTTCGTCGTGGCTACTGGGGTAACAAGATCGGTCAACCCCATACTGTCCCTTGCAAGGTACGTTTATTAATTGCTGTGTTGATTGCTCAGTTTCTCTCGTAAAATATTTTTGGGAATGTTTTTTAGCTTAGGAGCCACCAGCCTGATAACAGAGTCAAAATTAGTGACTGCTCCCTTAATATTCTCAAACTCTATTTATTTATTTATTTTTTGAAGCTGAAATATTAACATACCCCAGCTCGACATCCATTCATGGGACGCTTACCTTTGTCCCGAGGGCGTCCTCTTAATAGTTATCATTTGTAAACAAAGAAGATTAGATTGTTGATTACGTCATTTGCTTGAGAATCATCCTATGTCACATTCAAAAAACTGTGAACACCTGCAATGTTTTTAGAATTGATCATTCTGTCGATTGCAACCAATCTTATTAATTAGTTTTTAGACATCCCAACAAACCACAATAGCCGGTCTCACTTTAATCATTTTAGGTGACCGGTAAATGTGGCTCAGTACGTGTACGTCTGATCCCCGCACCCAGAGGAACTGGTATTGTGTCTGCTCCAGTCCCTAAGAAGCTGCTTCAGATGGCTGGTATTGAGGATTGTTATACCTCAGCTCGTGGACAGACTGCTACCCTGGGGAATTTTGGTGAGTCACATAGCTTCTTATGCAAAGACTGCAGTTGATAGATTCATGTATATAAATATGATGTTTTCAGAGCCTGACCACTTACTTAATTAACGTGAGTCTTGATATTTCAAAGTGGTGCCCAGTTTTTTGAAACAATAAGAATATTTTGACACCCATCACTGCCACAGATTTACCTTCACACATTTTCCAAAAAGTGACCAACCCTGACCAACCTTAAGGATTAAGAAGCTGTTGCAGAAATTTGGGTACAGCTTCGTGCCCTACACTTTGTTAGTCATAGGTGAGGTTTCTCTTGGAGAGTGCGCAAGTTCTGCAAATCTCTTGTGTCCAAGAAAGACACTGCTTTGATTTGTCTGTAGACAATTGGAAATTAACATTGAAAAACAGGTGTAATCAACAAGGTATTTGTTTGATTTGTGTTTTTTCAGCCAAAGCAACCTTTGCGGCTATCTCCAAGACATACTCCTACTTGACACCAGACATGTGGAAGGAGTCTGTGTTTACCAAGGCCCCATACCAGGAGTTTACAGACTTCCTGGCTAAGAACCACACTGGACAACGTGCAGCTGCCAAAGAACAGGCTCTTAAGTAGTTAAAATCAAATGCTGAAATAAAGACTGAACTAAAAGTAAAGTATTTCTTAGTCTGTTGTGTCTTGATCGTTGACCAACAACATCATTCAGACTGCCCTTCACAAACAGTTGCCCTTTCCTTCCAGATTATTTTCGTCCTCTGTCTTTTCTCCACTTTCACATACACCACTTTCTCCTAATAAGGGTTCTGGGTGTGGCTTGCTGACAGAAAGGAGTGCATCCCCATTTATGTCGCTGGCTGACTTTCAACACTCCTTTGGCAAAATCTCATGGGAGGAGCCTTTGAAGCAGTCGATCCGAATGTTCCTTGTTCCAAAGTGCCGTTATTCAGGTGTGCAGTGGTCTCACCAGGTTATATAAACTTACACTCATCGCTCTGAAAGAGCTCTCAGTATCGCACGTGCGAGAAGTAGCGTATCGCGCAGAAGTTTTAGCGGAACTCGTATTTTGCCTTGGGAGAGACTAATTACGATATGTGTTTCCTGGAAGGGTTTGGTTGGATCATTACAATTTCAAGCCATATAATAGCGCAAACCCTGCCCGATCTAAACCTGAAGCCTCACGTTTCAAGGTGAAAATTAAAAGGCGTATTGAAACTTAATGATAGACATGTTTAGTCTGTGGACTGGACAGGTAAATCAAGGACATTATCCATGCGATGACAACTGACAGACATTAAAGAGAATGTTTTCTTGTTGATTGGAGACTAAGCTGCTGCAATTCGCCACTTTACAAAGACGAAGAAAACTGGTCAGGTTAACTTTCGCAGACTTTTGCAACTGTTTCTAGGGACAGGGATAAAATTGGCCATTAGCTGACCATGGCGCGTCTCCAGTAACGACCCCAGAAACCATTGCAGGACGAATTTGGGCTCCAGTTCTCCTCTCGTTTCCAGAAAAAGTACAAGCCATTAGATTAAAGAAAAGTAGGTCTACACCTAGGAATGAAAGAAGATGGAAGAAAAGCCAAAAGAACAAAGGGCGAATGGAAATTGACAGTAAATATGAACCTGAACAGAATGGTGTCCGCGTAATTGAGAAAAAGTTTACAAGTACTGTGTGTAATTTTCAAATGCTCTCTCTGAACGAATTTTCCATATTATTGTTGGTAAGACTAGATGTCAATCCCCCATCTCTTAATTTACAGCGTGCCTCCCTCTCCCGCTTATAGGCAATTGTAATTGTTTAAAAATGCCTTTTTCGAAAAAATGAAATTCTAATTTGTTAGGGACTGTTTACACGAGAAAATTCGCACCGGCTCCAGCTTCATACCGGGATGACTTCTTGATTTCGTATCGCGTTTACATGTTTGCATGTTTTTTCCTCGTTCCATAACCAACTTACGACGCCATCCTGAGTTGACGAAAACCACGCATGTGCTACCCGTTTCAGTCCACCAGCAGACCGACTTTAAACCTAACCGAGTGGTCATTTCGCATGTTACTAAGCAACGAGATACGTCAATACACCCTTAACGTAGGGGGCCTATGCAGGCTATATCTAAGCAAGCCAGTGCCGCTTACCTTTTACTTTTTTAGAGGTGTGCAGAAGATCGACGGACTATCAGGTTGGTGAACATTAAACTCTTATGCGTACATTACTAACATGGTGAGATATGCTAGAATTTGCACGTCCAAAGTTGACTTCATCAATAGACTCCGTGGACTTTCATTACGACTCAGACAGCAAGGCTTTGAAACCAATCTACTTCAGAAATCATTTAATAAATTCTTCAGTCGCCATGGTCTTATCGTCGAGAAGTATGGTGCAGCCCTGCGGGAGATGAGATTAGCAATCCAGGCTTGAATTGCACCATCGTATCCTTACATTACTTATTTATTACCTAGTGTTGTATTTCAGATGTATCTCGGTACGTGTGCGCGTACAATTTTATTTTGAGCGCGCGCATTATTTGTTTATTTATTTAATTGACGTGTACATTTAGTTCGTTTATTAACGTCTTAATTTTACTTTGCGTTATTTTCCTCACTTATACATTGTCCGTGACTGTGCTCACATGGTGGGTGGCTCCTCCTAAAATGTTCTGCAATTGGTATAGGATTTAATGGAGCCGAAACCAATTGTGGAATTGCACGCATTTTAGGCATCCTACTGATGAACAGTTGCGACCCGTAGATATATATTTTTTAGCAACTAAGATAATTTGCAGTCTGTCTACTTTGAATTACTAAAGTAGCAACGACTTAGATGCTTGGTATCGGCAGCAGGCGCAAGCTTTTACCTCTCCAAACGTCTTTTCAATGTCTCGCATGTTAGTTTTAGTTGCAAATGCAACGAAAGATCGGACTTAAAGATTAGACTTCGACCGAGTAAAATAATATCCTGGTATATCTAGGTTAATCGAACAAAGAAAATAACAAACTTGGCCTCTATACCTCATGCTATTCCTCCTATATGTGGTGAGACGAGGATATAGTTGTGAGTACAGTGATGATCCAGTGACTTGAATATGATAATGAAGTAAGGATTTATTTAAAGAAAGGATAATCAATCTTGAAACAGAGCTGAGCTAAGAAGTGCTCAGTTCTTGTAACGATCTCTTACTTTCATAGAAAGTTTAAAATGCTACAGTATAAGAGCAAATATTTAAGATTGTTTTTACCACTTAAATATTCAGCTGCGCTCACTCGTGAAATATTCATGTACAACACGAGAAGATACTTGAGGTCACCCAAATTGTTCCTAATTTGAAGGCTTGCACAAGAAGCACGAGAATTGATTAAAAATCGTGAGTTAAATCTCCAGGTATCACACGATGGCCTGTCTCACTGCACCAAAATTATCATATCTCGTTGAGCATTCGGAAGTCAGCCAAGCGCGGTCATTGCACGCGTGCTGAACAAGAATGCTGTATAATGACAGACTAGAAACAATAGACAACTCCCAAAGCACAAACTCAGCCAAAACGCTAAAAATCTTCAATGTTTACTCTCAAGTTTGGGCTTATAGAAGATAATGTCACAGTTTTTCAATGACCGTGAAATTCAGAGTCCGGGTAGTTAGTTAATCAATTGTGGCCCTGAAAAAATTTGAAGGAAAAAAAACTACGAATTTTTAAGAAAATGCTTTTTTCGTGAGAAGGACTCTTAAACGCCGACAAACGTCAACAAATAGCGAAAACTATAATTTCTATACCTTTGCTTTGCTCGAAATCGCGCGCATTTACAAGGCCTTAAAGCGTTTTGCTGACTTGCAAAGACCTATCTGTTATAACGATGCCCAAAATAAAGGGATGAATCTCATAGTTTATTAGATATAATCGTGTAAAGTTTGCTTATCATTTTCCCATAAATTATGACCTAAATTTGGAAACCGCTGAATTTCTCGTATTGGGTCTTTGCGATTTTGGTGAAACTCTGTTCAGCGCAAGGCACTAATGCGCACTATGTGTAGCCGAGAGAGTTTCACGAAAAAATGCCGGCAACAGCAGATTTTCGACTCAGACCTCAAAGGGGCGTGGCATTATAACCACGTGACATCTACTCCGATCGCCAAAAATTTTATGTTATATTGTAGATTATCCATTCTATGTGTTAGACTTACGATAAAAGTAAAGGTGGGGATACCAGAGATCTTCAATGTAGGATGGTACCCCCCAAAAAAACTGGGTCGAGTCACCTTAAAAGCATCGGTTGGAAGAATTTCGGCGTGTGCGTGATTGTGTAAATGTTCAGCAAACTTAGTCCTTTGCTGACTTTCGTGTTTTTCCTTTATTTCGATCATGAAATCGATCATGGAACAGACAATTATGGTCAGGGTTTTAGTATTTATTTATTTAGTTTTAGCAAGAGCCATAATAGGACAGAGAGGGACACTCAGGGCGTTGGCCGGGATATCTTAATCCCAAAAAAGTTATTTTTAGAACTATGCGGACCATGCGAAAACAGTTTCCGGTAAACTGGTTGACTTCCGGAAGACTCGCTTTCACGATTTCAGGGCGCCAAAGCGAGGCGGCGTCAACAAATAAAAAAAATGGCGGCACAAGTGGAGGGACGATGTGAAGTTGATAAATTGGCCTTCTTCAACAAAGAACCTATCATAGAAACTGCTTAAAACTTCTACACAAAAGGGTCCTTTACAAGCAACGGTAGAAATCGGTAAAAGCGACCGCGTGACCATCGTTTTTGTTTGAACAGCTGGAAAGAGGACAAGTAGCATTGCGGCCCGGATAAGCGTTGAAGACAAAATGCGCGGGTCCTACAAAGATGACCGTACAAGCAACCATGTGGACGTATTTTCTATTGAAAGAGAAAGGAAAAGAACGTATAAAGGTTTCCAGTATTTTTGTCACGGACATGACCGGGAATCTTGTGGAACACACCTTTTCCTGCTTGACTGATATTTTGTTGCGCACTTCACATTGAACAATTAGCAATTCTTTATTGAACACGAGGTTAATAGAAGCGGAGGTTAATGTTCCTTAAAATGAGTAAAGAAACCAAAAAGCTCAATTTGATTGACGGATCAAATCATGCGTGGAAATCGGTAAACAATAGGTTTCATCTTTACAGAATTTTCAAACATTGCAAATCAAATCGGAAACAATAGCCTATATGGGTTATATGGAATCGCCAGAAGTTTAAATTGTACTTTCAAGCCTAAGAAGAAAAGTAGAGCTTTGTTTTCATCTGTCGACTCGCCAAGTTAGAGGAAAAAGGTTTTTTGTGCAGCTAATTTGTGCTGTTCTTTGTAAGTGCAGACAATGGTGGCCCGGTTGCTTGAGGTAAGGAGCCCTTTCTCTGTAGTTTTCTTTGTCCTGTTTAATTGAAATCTCGAGCTTTCGTTAACATTTGCTTTCATTTTTTTTCTCATAAGTCAGTTGAATTTGATTTCGGGGGAAAATTTGTCTTTAAAGGAAATGTTGAGTTCACCCACCCCTTCTACTCGATTAAACTGTAATTGTCAACATTCCATCGAGCAAAAAATATTGAAACTTTGAAGTATTTTCATACCTTCAAAAGAGTGGACCCTAGGATTTT